GGCCCTTCATAAAAAGAAATATTGGCGTATAGCCAAATAACGAAGTATTCCGACCTCATTCTTAGTTCAATGTTTATTTAAAGCTTATAAGTTATCATTAATAGTAGTTTATTGTTTACGTTATAATGTATGTACTATAAAATATGTGCGTACATAAAAATAATCCGCTTATCTTGTTCACTGGATGGAGTCAATGACTTATGAATTGTATATGTATGACTCATCTTATTCATGACCGAGTTATCCGCTCGCGGCTTCACCTGTGTGCTATTTACATGAATTAGGTTCCAATTTTGTAGAAATATTGCAATAAAATGTGGCCTTTTTGTTGATTTTTATAGTGCAGCCAACGAGCAGACGGATCACCTGATCGTAAGCAATCGGCGCCGACGCTACCTATGGGCACCCAAACCTTTTGAGGGTTATAGGAGGGTTATAGGTCATCGCACAGCTCTGGCGCGATTTCAACCCAGCAATTCACTTGTCATTTAAATATGAACGTTAAATCGTATGTCGTATGACATATTTCATAACGTCTATCGGTCTATATGAAAAAATTGATAGCGCGCCGCCCGAGCTGCGACGACGCGACGTCGCTCTTACGACCTTTTCGTATTGTTTCCGGAGCAAGAAACGCTGTGTCGGAGCTGTGCTTGTTAGGTGTGCGATGACTTTCAGACGAGGGGAAAAGACTGGACGGCACCAGTTTTCTGTGAGGCCGTGGTATCACTCCACCTCACCTCGGTGGAGCCACCTCATTCGTTGACCAGCCGGGATATCGCTACGATAAAAAGTAGCATGTATTATATACTGACACCCTGCAAAGAAAGCTTTATAATGATATAAAACAAGTAAAATCAACCCAGACGTAGTGAATAACAAGCTAGAACTTCCGATCAACGCATGTCAGATTTGACAGACTGACGCCCGAATACTTCAGTCAGGCTACTCAATTACTGGAATTAAATTGTACTTAAATATCGTTTCGTCTCTGTCATTTTACAATGAATTTGTAGTGTCAGAACTTTTTTTATGGGATATAAACGAGCAGACGGATCACCTGATAGTAAGCAATCGTAACACCGGTTACAAGTGCGTTACCGGCCTTTTGGTATTAGGAATTTGAGGATTGTTGGGGATTCAGGAATTGAGAAAAGGGGAGGAGGGGTTAATTGGGCCTCCGGTAACCTTACTCACACGAAACACATCGCAAGCGTTATTTCACGATCAAAGTTTAGTTGGAGCATATATTTCAATTAAACCACAATTTGGTATATTTGAACCGTCAACAAATACAAAATAAATAATAGTCTGTCAGTCAGTCCGTCAGTCAAGCTAGGTAAAGCTAGGTGCTCATTCCAAAATGTAGATTCGAATGGAGAAGAACGAGCAAGAAACTCCATTCGTTACTCTGTTTAAAAAAGTATGTTCTACAATGTCTCTGTCTTCTCGGTCTTCTATGAAGCCGTGGTATGACTCCGGTCGAGCGGGCCCATTCGTGCCAAAGCATGGCTCTCCCACACTTAAAATTGAGTAGCGTCACTCATGATTATTTCAGCGTTACCGATTCAGTAATATACGACATCTGATAGCTGAAAGAGATGGAAAGTAGTTGTTACGTAGTACGCTTCAAAGACGTGTTTTAAATAAATAATTATCATTCAGTCGGCATCTAGAAGCATACAGATTCTTTGTACTTGCAGAACGATTTTGAAAAACGCCGCACTTTTAGCGATTTCGTAAAAATTTGAAAAAGTATTTATCTATTTTTTATCAATACCAATACCTAATGCATTAATCATGTCTCTAAAGAGGTGATCTTAATAATTTCATATCTATTGTTGATAACGAGTTTCCCGAAGTGCTGAATGTGGCACTGAAGTACCTATATGTCTATAGTTCTATACTATTAATATTATAAAGACGTAAAATTTGTAAGTTTGTATGCAAGGGGTAATCTCTGGAAGTAATAATCCAATTCTAAAAATTTTTTTACCAGCAGAAAGCTGCATTATTCCTGAGTGCTATAGGCTATAAATTGTTTCTATAACATGTATATTTACCGAGCTATCACAAGTTTTGCTTAGCAAGTCGGAAAAAAAATCCTCATAAAAAAGAATTATTTGCGTGCGCTGCCTAAACTATAAAAGATAGAACCATAAAATGTTCTAATTAATTGTAGATCTTATAAATATCTACAAAAAAGTCCGCGACACACTATACCTATCTAGGTCCAGTAAGGCACAACTAGCATTTTTTAAGAAAAAATCTTGAATTTTGATTTGGACTACATTCCAATACATTTATTTCACTCATGCTATTAATCCTTGTCAAAATATTGTATTTCATCACTAAATTATTATTGTATTTCATCACTAAATTATTATTATTGTATTTAATCATATTTAAATGATTAAAATCGGATGTTTGGTTTTGAAGTTATGGCGAAATTAAAATATTACGATTTTTTCTGTACGGCCCGTTTCGAAGTGAGTACCTATTGCCAAGGCGGGAGGGGCGCAGGGATAAGGCCGGTATTATGTTTATTAAGCGTGCGCTACCTAAACAGTTGCTTAAAATTAAAAACTATGTAGGTATGTTATCATGATGAGTGGCAAAAACGTTCCACGCGGACGAAGTCGCGGGCAGAAGCTAGTTACTAATATTATAAGCTACCTGAAACAGCAACTTCGTCTGCGATTTTCTAAAATAAAACTAGCTTATGCTACTCCTTAGTACATACATTAGCTACCTGACAAGAAAAATTCTGTTAAAATCGGTCCAGTAATTTCAGAGCTAGCTAGTACAAACAATCAGGCAGCTAAATTGCAAAAAGTGTTGTTTTGGTGATGTATCGTATGTATATTCATATACGTGTAGTAAAAAGTGGTTGTTTCAATATTACAAACAGATACTACATCATCATCCATCATCACATCAGCCACATGACGTCCACTGCTGAACATAAGCGTCCCCCAATGACTTCCACATAGGCCGGTTGGAAGCGACCTGCATCCAGCGGCTCCCTGCGACCTTAATGAGGTCGTCTCAATCACGTTAAAACGGCTGAAGGGATCGTGATCAAATTTGGAACAGGAGTGAATTATTGTCTGACATGATACAGGCTATTTTTTCACCACGGGAAGGCGGGCGGAACCTAGTGATTAATTAATTGGCTAAGTGTGGGAGAGCCATGCTTCGGCACGAATGGGCCGGTTCGACCGGAATGATACCACGGCCGAGCAGAAAACCGACGTGAAGCAACGCTTGCGTTGTGTTTCGTAGTGTGAGTGATGTTACCGGAAGCCCAATTGCCCTCCCCTTCCCCAATCTCCACAATTCCTGAATCCCCAACGATCCTCAAACTCCTAATCCCCAAAAGGCCGATAACGCACTTGTAACGCCTCTGGTGTTCCAAATGTCCATGGGCGACGCCGATTGCTTACCATCAGGTGATCCGCCTGCTCGTTTACCGGCTTATGCCATAAAAAAGTAAGTCAGTGTTAAACTATTAATGTAGGTACTTCAGTAAAGGTACCTTATCGGGACTATAAGTGATGTTTTGTGCGGAAAATGCGTTGTTCAAATGATACGCGTTTGATAGTGCGGTCGGCTATCAAATGAGTTAAGTAGTTATTTATTGGTTTAAGCGGTTAATCTTTATTTCCTAACATGCGTTGACATGATGACATATTAAACTGTTTTGGTACAGATAAGTTATTTTTAAGTGTGGGAGAGCTATGCTTCGGCATCAATGGGCCGGATAGACAGGAGGCCTCAGAAAACCCACTTGAAACAACGCTTGCGTTGTCTGAATAAGGTCACCGGAAGGCCAATTATCCCTCCCACTACACAATCTCTCCAATTCCTGAATCCCCAACAATCCTCAAATTCCTAATACCTCGATTTGCCATTTGATTGACTGCCTCGTTGGCCGAGTGGTATGGCAATAGGCTCACCCCCTATTACATGGGACTCATAACATAAATAGTGATAAGTGGGTGTTACTTTGTACAGTGGTACAATGTGCACCTCTGCCTACCCCTTCGGGGATGGAGGGCGTGATGTTATGTTATATACAGATTTTATAATAGTGTTTTGAAACTGGTGAACAGGCTATATCTAGATCAGAAGTGTACAATTTATGAATACGAGTTCTCACTTCTCAGACTTGATCCTTGATTTTTTTATACCGTTATGCCTTCACACGTCTCATAGTATCATTATCTTATTGCTAGCTATTCCCACGCGGATTCATCCGCTCTGTTCACCTAATGCTTTCTCGGTAAATGGACTAAGTATCCAACACAAAAATAATGTTTCAAATCGGACCAGTAGTACCAAACCAGTAGTTCAAACAAACGAGGAAGGCATCATCACATCACACTACGACCAATAGGCGCCGAACAGAGCGCGCGGGAGTAACTGCGTCAATATAGGTACAATGCACATATCTTCACCAATTATGTTATAAGTCATTTGTATGTAATAGATGGGGAGCCTATTGCCATATGGGCCACAATTCTAAATTCCGTGCTATAAGGCCCTATTCGCATGTCCGCATCCACACACATTTAATATTTAATACCAAATGCCCGATGTTGAAAATGCAACACGGACATAAGAAGTATAAGACGTAAGAAATACCAAGTAATGTAGACTAAGAATCATCATTGTTAACTGTGTGCTATCTTTAACCCAACACTTAAATGCCAAATTGTCCATTTCCAGTACGTCAGTGACACCGGAAAAGGTGACTCCTATCTCAGCGAGCTGATCCGCATCAGGATACATGGTACTGATGAGAATAACGTCGCAAACCATGTCCAAGTTATCCTCAAATCTATCCCTAAAAGCATCGCAAGGAGATTGACTTTCAGGAGCCATGAGTTCTTCCAAAACGAGATCAAGTTTTACGAGAAAGTCCTACCAGCTTTACTGGACTTCCAATCCACGAAAAATGTAAAAGACCCCTTCGACAAATATACCAAAATGTTCTTTTCTTTCTGCGATGGGACGAACGACGTTCTTTGCTTAGAGGACGCAAGCTTATATCAGTTTGGGAGCGCGGTCAGGCAAGAAGGGATCGACTTAGAACATAGCAAGTTGACTTTCAAAATACTAGCGCAGTTCCACGCCCTCTCCTTCGCTATGAAAGACCAGAAGCCAGAAGAATTTGGGAAGTTAAAGACTCACCTCATAGAAGTCTATTACCATGATCGTTTATGGGATTGGTACACGCGATTTTGGAAGAGGATTTCAGGCATAGCTATCAACGCGGTAGAAAAAGAATACCCTGACTCTGTTTACGTGGAGAAGGTTAAGGAGTTTGCGGTACCAGAAAGGTACCAAAATATGATAGATGCGGCGACAAAAACTGATGAAACTGGGGTTATATCTCACGGAGACTCGTGGACGAACAACTTTCTTTATAAGTATGTGGGTGGAAGTCCTGTGGATGCGAAAATTATTGACTTCCAATTGGCTCGATGTGCTACACCTGTACTCGATCTCTCTTTCATGATATACGCTTGCACGAGTCAAGATTTGAGGGAGAAGCATTATGATGAGTTACTAAAGTATTACTATGAGATCCTGTCCACTCAAGTAAGGGATCTGGGTAGTGACCCAGATAAGGTATATCCTTGGGATCTCTTTATAAGTGAGATCAAAAAGTATTCGTACTTTGGATTGGCTTTCAGTTTTGAGTCGACGCCTTTTATAGTTTTGGCGCCTGAAGATGCAGTTAATATGGAGATGACGGTAAAGAACATTTTTATTTATACATAACAATCCTAATAATTTTATCTCTGAAGGGGTAGGCAGAGCTGTACATTACGGCACTTAATACACCCACTTTTTACCATTTATGTTATGAGTCCTATGTAATAGGGGGTGAGCCCAATGCCATACGCCGGGCACAATTCCAGACTCCGTGCTACTATTGTGAATTTTCAAAAAACCCAGTAGTACTTTGCGTGACCCAGGAATCGAACCCTTACCTGGCACGACAGTCGCATTTGCGAGCACTCTGCCAACAAGGCAGTTTTATTTATATGTAACTTATTATTATTTATTATTTAATTGTGTTATTATTTTTTTTTACCAGTGATGGTATTTGTACCATGTAGTGGATATTAGACTAAGTAAAATTCCAAACAAATTAAAAGGAGGTTACATTTCCTACCTACCAAAAGATTTTAAAATCTAATAATACCATTAAGGGTGGGAGAGCGTCGCGGAGAACCTAACGGGTAACCGGTGCTCCGGCTCGACGTGCAGGAGAAGGAACGGGGTGGTTTTTAGTCAGTAAGAGTCTGACACTCCCTCCCGCCTCACCCAGGCGGGAACAGTCATTCGATGATTTTCCCTCTTAAAAAAAAGGGTGGGAGAGCCATGCTCCGGCACGAACGGGCCGGCTCGACCGGATTGATACCACGGCCTCACAGAAAACCGACGTGAAACAACGCTTGCGTTGTGTTTCGTCGTGTGAGTGAGGCTACCGAAGGCCCGATTACCCTCCTCCCCAATCCTCGAATTCGCAATAATTCTCAAATTCCTATCCCTAAAGGCCGGTAACGTACCCTCTGGTGTCCAAGGGCGACGCCGATAAGCAATCGGCGGTCCCACCAGGTGATCCATCTGCTCGTTTATCGCCTTATCCCATAAAAAACTTACCTGATCTATCATTGAAACCGACGATCTCATGCGGTCCAATCTTATTCTCATCATCAAGTGAGTGACAGTTAACTGATGAACTTATGTAATAAGGTAATTGTATATTCGATTTTGTATATCGGATACGACCTTCAAACCTTCTGGAAAAGAGCGGTGGCTCTGGCCTGCTCTGGCGAGCTCTGGTGTTTCGGTTGTCCGTGCACCTCCTATTCCATAAAAAAAGTAATTCCTTATAATTTGTATTTCAGGGCGACAAAGGTATGAACATAGAAGATGTATGGCAGATAGGACCTTTCAAAACCAAGGAGGGTCGACTCCGGGAGGCAAACAACGTGAAACATTGCGTCGATAGAGGATACATATAAATATAAGTAATTACTGTCGTTTTAGGTGTAATATTGAACCATAGCCGTCTGAACAGCTAAATTGTTTTATGAGTTGGGGCTGCAAACGACCTCCTGGGTCACCTGATGGTAAGCAATCGGAGCTGCTCACATACACCCGAAACTAATCTCAACGTCAATTTAATGAGTTATTATGTTTTCGGCTTACTGTCGTAATTATTTGACGAGGAACTCGACTAGTTTCAAGCCATGCTAGAGGCTCATTCATGAGCAGCATGTCGCGACCATAGCAGCGCGACAGTCGCCGCGTCGCAGGTGAAACTAGTCGAGTTTCTCGTCAAATTATTACGTGAGTAAGCCGAAAACATAATAATTTATTTAGTATGTTTCACGAAAGACAATTTAATGTCTATCCATGGACATCTCAATACCAAAATTGTTACAACTGTGCGCTTCTCACGTAGCGTTCTGCCTCGCACAGCAAAACTGTGGAATGATCTGTCGTCGGCGGTATTTCCGAACCGATACGACCTTCAACAAAAGAGCGTATTCCTTTTTAAAAAACCGGCCACGCACCTGTGTCTCCTCTGGTGTTGCGGGTGTCCATGGGCGGCGCTGATCGCTTATCATCAGGTGATCCGTCTGCTCGTTTGTCTCCTATTCCATAAAAAAAGAAATAATAATAATTTAGAGGTCAGATATAATGGTTCAATGTTACCCAAATCTATTGTTATCATCACAATTTAGTTCTAATTAACTCTTATCTCTCTCTACACTTCTGAATGAGGGCTACCGGCTTTTTCCTCACCAGGTGTAGCGTATGGTCTATTTATACAATTACTGCAACTGTCGATAATAGGGTAGATGCCTAATTTTTATTTTAATGTCCGTCTGGTAGATTATTTTAAATCATTAGACACGTATTTTTTATTTTTTTACAGAAACGAATACTTTTGGCGATATATTGATTTGAAATGTCGCGTGACGTCACTTCTATGTACATCTTAAACGTAGAAATAATGACGTTTTAGCCCCCACTCCTAAATTTTTATTCGTTTTATCTAAGTATCGTTTTATGATACGACAAAATGGAAAAATACTTGTCTAATATTTACATTACCCAACTCACAGACTAATTACATTTTTACTTTTCATACCCTGTCATCATCCCTATTGAATATTCGATGTTTTTCTAACTCAATCGACAATTATATCTCAAATAATCGGTAGCCCTCATTAGTGACTATTACAATGCGTAAGTTATAAAATACACCGTGATATTTTAATGGTTGTTTTCCCACAGTAAAATGATTCTATTTTAGTAGTACAATAGATTGAGAAAGTTGTTTTTAATTTATATAAAAAAATAGCAGTTTTACGATAGTGATACACGAAACTTGAAAGAAACCGCGAACCAATAGTACCGCCGCGAACGGCCACCGGCCGCTGTCATTGTCATAAGGCAATAATCAAAAGGCTGATAACTCAGTATTTACTAACAAGTGATTTCCATTTTCCCTTCATACTTTAACGGGCTTAGGACCGTCGTAAATACTTTTTAACTACACTTACTAAACACAAACATAAACAAAATTTAATCAAGAGATATTATCTTGTTTATTACTGAATTTAGGAAAGGCGTATTTAAAAATGGGAATCAACGTATTTACAATGATTTTAATCACATAACTTATTGTTTTATTTACAAATGTACAAGTACTTACACTTCCCGGTAACGGAGCAATTGTTCAAAGTGTAAGCCACCGCGTTCCACACACAATCGTGCACGTTTTAACTGATTGGCTTTCAATTTTAATAATGTGTCTCTGTCACGTCTAATCACATCAAAAGCGTCCACTATCGCACTTTTTAACGCGTCGCGAGTTTCGTACTCTTGCCGATACACAAGGCGTTTGAGATTAGACCACAAATAAAAGTCTAGTGGAGTAAGATCCGGGCTTCGTGGTGGCCATGGCACTGGCCCGCCACGACCGATCCAACGCTGGGGAAACACCGAGTCGAGGTGCTCTCGCACGGCGCGCTGATAATGCGCAGGGCAACCATCGTGCTGGTAATACAGGCCATCCATGGGCACTGCTAACGGAATGTCATCTAGTAAGTCCGGGATAACACTACGTAGCATTTGTAGGTACGTTTCACCGGTTAAGTGTCCTGTCACAAAATGCGGACCAATTAAGCAGCCGTTTATTATACCGGCCCACACGTTTACACTAAACCGCACTTGATGCGCACATTCCCGAATAACGTGTGGGTTATTAAAAGCCCAAAAATCATAATTCGCCCTCGCGTACAATTGCACCATAGCTACGTACTCCACATTAGAAAAAACGTAATGGCGATCCATTTTGGCGGCAATAATATTGTACTGCGCTTGCGTGGTTGCGCGGACGGCGTTCGCGGTGCGACTGGTGTGAATGAAAGCGATGCGAGGCGATGCGGGCCGATGCGAGTGACAGAGAGCGCGGTGGTTGCCTTTGTTGTTTGTCGTGAGGCGATCCGCTCGCGCGCGCGTGCATTGCAGTTTATGCTGTATTACTTAGTCCGAGAGATTATTTTACTATGAACATTGATTTGACGTCACATTTTAGAAGAGAAACTATCGTTTCTCATGCTTTCGAGTTGATGATTATTTTTTTGAGTATATGAGGAGAAAAAAAATTATTTTTTCAAAAAGTAACTTGCATTATTCGATAGTATTACTAAAGGGAAATCGTTCTGCTGCGGGAAAACAACCATTAAAATGTCAGCGTGTATAATTGCACATAGTCTATAATTAACCACAAAGACTCGACTAACTATCCTTATATCTATTGACGTAAGGTCCAATTTGTAATACATACTTATAATAGAACAATATAAGGCCTTAGAAATATCTATTATAACAAGGACGTTGATAAAACGACGGACGTAATGTCATTTGGAAATGATTGAGGCACCAAAATGTTAGTGGTGTATTTATGTGTGCGTGTACTAGCAACACCGTAATGTATGAAGTGTAATAACGGGCCATCGGGCCATGTAACGCGACAGACGTCCTTCGTGTCAAAGTGTGTGTATTCTGCGTGTAAGTTTATAGTAGCCAGGTGCCACAGTCGTTGTTTCAAGAGACTACGTCCTTCTTTTTAACGTTCTTTGTGTTATAATAATATACTATTCTGTCAAGAAAGTACCGGGAAGAGATCGGTAAAACATAAAATCTTCGTTGTTCATCAACATTTTATTTTATCACCTCCAAACAGCGTATTTATATCGTAAAAAAATGCTGGAAAAATACTAAAATTGGTCAGTCGGTTATAAAATCAATTAATGAAAATGATATATTGTATTGAACAGTCGAAATAATTTATTTTTAATTAAACTGTCAAATACCAAGCGGTCACCGGTGACCGCAACCTATTGTTCTATAATTGTGTCTACAAAACCGGTACTCGACGAGTTAAGGAAAGTACCAAGTTATTCAATGTCAACACTATACAACCTCTATAGTAGCTGTTAAAATAGCATTCAGAGTTTAGAAAATAAAGCGAAAATGTTTTAAAGTTCTGCTAGAGGCTCTTATTCTTGAGTACCATGACTTGAAACTAGTCGAGTTCCTCGTCAAATAATTACGTGAATAAGCCGAAAAACATAATAATTAATTTACTGTATCTCACGAAAGTTATAATGAAGACATACACATAATGTTATTTGAATTGAAATTAAGTAAATCCTTCCCGGTACTTTCTTGTAAGTACATACATATTATTACATTAGCTACTTCCGCGCGGTTTCACATGCTCTGCTCAGCTCCTATTGGTCGTAGCGTGATGTTTTATAGCCTATAGTCATCCTCGATAAATGCGCTATCCAACATAAAAAGAATTATTCAAATCAGACTTGTAGTTACGGAGATTAGCGCGTTCAAACAAACAAAAAAACAAACTCTTTCGCTTTATATAATTGTATAAGATAAGATATTGATTTGTCTCAATAATATGAGACCAATTTAATTTTACATAGTTATAATTGCAGTTGTGTTATTCAATTTTAGATTGTATTGTGTGGATTATAAGGTGTATGGTAACTGCAGTTAATCATGACAAGCATTTGAAATTTTTTAGGGCCGAGTTTTTCAATCATCAGTTAATACTTAATTGTAGAATAAAATTGACATTAGACAGTTTTTGGTATGGAAGAATTGACAAATACGGTAAAATGGGGTGAATAGAGTTTGTGCGGCAAAAAGGAACAGAGTGCCAAGCACTGGTTAGTTCACTTGAGCCGGCCAATCAGAGCGCCGAACGCGCTCGATACTATTACGTTACGAATGCGATAGTTATTCGTGCTTGGCCCTCAGAAGAGGGGGTGAATGAAGTATTTCCTTATATCTATACACCCCTTTTCTGCCCCTATTCACCTCTTGATCCCTATATTCACCCCATTTTACGGCATTTAGTTAGTATATAGGCTGCAAGGCAACACTTTTACACGTCAATTTTATGACTGACTACTCTGAGAAGAAATGTCGAAACAAAATCAGAGATCCGTCTCTTTTTAAAGTTTTTTTTTCTTTGGCAACCGGGTTTCCAATACGATGTTGTCGACTATACTGCCGGTGTCGGGTGTTGACGGCAGATGAACCGTCGAAGTTAACTTTGCGGTAGTTTTTAGTTGTTAGTAGCTGAAAGGACAAAACAATTGGGTTAGTGAACATATAAATATTAACAACTATTTTACTGTATGTGTACAGGGGTGATGGAAATAGTGGAGGGGACGTACACAATACAGACACACAGATATATACACCATTTACATAATTGTCACCGCTTTTTAAAGTTATTCCCCAGTTTAATG